GAACAAGCTTTAGAAAAGGTATTCATGATCATGGTGATTGATACGGTAACTAGATGTGACATCTGATCTATAAACATGCTTTATCTAGGCTAAGTTAAAATATGAAACGCATAGTGAGGATTGGGAACGCGCGATTTTGCAAAAGAATAATGTTGACACGATTCCGAACACGAAGTCAAGAACATTAACAAAAGTTATATTTTCTAAACAACCAAAGACACCAACACAGGTTTGGAATTTCCGTGACAAATTAGATATGGAGATTGAAAAATTAAGTAATTAATTTGAAAATCTGTTTGCAAAAAAAAATTTTTTTTTTAGTTAATAAAATTAGAAGAAGATGCTAGGAATAAAGCAGTCATTGCAGATGACAGTTACAAGTACAACCTATCAATTGTAAATAAGACGAGACATGAATATTATGACATACAACTGCCTCGTATAGTCACGGTAAGAAAGAATGATACCTTTGTCTATACAGAAAATTCTCATATGATTAATAATTTCGACTCTTCCTACAAGGCTCTAAAAGAAATTTCTGATGAATGCGATGTAGGAATACAGTACCATTTGGCGCGCTACGCTTATCTTTATGAGAATACCATGGTGAGCGATGCATTGGTGATAAGTCCTGTCAATCCGGAAGACGGTAATTAATACTTTACGCATTATTAATAGAAAAATAGTATTAAATTATTATTTTTTTTTGCTGTTCAGGACCATCATTACGGAAGTATGTTGAGCAAATCAACAACGAGGATGACTATACTACATTCATGCAATCTTATACCTCAAAAGCTAAGAAAAATAAAAATTTCGATATACAATATGATCCATATCTTATGGTATGTCACGTGTAAAATTTTTCGTTTTTTATTTTCTTAATTTTCTTATGTAACCTTATTTCCAACTGAATTTCGATTTTCAGTCAGAACAAGCCGTCAATATTATGAGGCCGAAAAATACGTTTGGGGTTGATTTAGCTGAACAGATGCAAAGAGATGCAGTTGAAGTCCCTTTGATTTTATTAAAATGTGCAGAGACGATTGAACAGATTGGTGGTAATAATTTTTGATATTTATCTTTTGAACTTTAAGAAAACTTATATGTACGCCAACTAGAGTTGATTTTACGAAATCTATAGGACTAGAAGGTCAAGGTCTTTATCGAGTCTCGGGAATTCAGTCACATATTCAAAAGTTGCGGAATCTATTCGATAAAAGTTAGATTTCTACTACAAATAACAATCGATCTTTCATCATAAATCATTATTAATAAAACTTTTGATAGATCCCGAGGCCGTGAATCTTCTTGCCGAAGGAGATCTAATCGCAGATGTAAATAATATTACGAGCGTTCTGAAGTTATGGTTTCGCGAATTGCCAGACCCTCTTTTCACCAGAGCTATGTATCATGAATTCATTAATGCAGCAAGTAAGCTGGATTCCCTTTTTTTTATTACGCATAATTTTTTTTCAGGAGCATATATAACACGTTTTCTCTTAAATTATGTTCTCTAGAAATCCCAGATGATAGAAAACGTGTTCTTGAGCTTCATGATCGTGTTAATCACCTTCCTGATCCAAATTATAGCACTTTAAAATATTTAATGGGACATCTACACAAGTAAAGTTTACACATACATATTCGACCCAAATTTCACTTTATTTATGCCATTATATTATATGATCTTCAATGATTTTCTTCTTTTTTTTTGTAGAGTTGTTTCTCATCAAGATGTTAACAAGATGACGGTGCAGAATCTTGGAATTGTGTTTGGGCCAACTTTGATGGGTAGCTCTCTTTCTTCACAGGGTTTAAATATGCAACAATTAGGATTAAATAACATGGATAATGCCGGACTTAATGATATGGTATGGCAATGTAGAGTGGTGGAGACAATTTTGGAAAACTATCAGGGAATTTTTATACAATAATATCTGAACGAATATTTAAATTTAGGACTTTGTGAATCTTTTTAAAAAAGAAATCCTTATTATTATTTTAAGATCTTTTGAACTTAATTCTCTTATTTGTATTATTTCTCTTATTTTAAAAATATACAATAATCTGGAATTATTACATCACACTGTAAAATTATCTTTTAATTTAATTTTGTTCATATATTTTTCAGTCCGCAAATGCATTAAAAGAAAGGCTGTTGTTCGAACGAAAGAACAGCATTTTCAGATCTTTTTCGTTAGTAGTACGTTAGCGAGTTAAATATTTATCCGTAGGGCGCAATTATTTATTTACTATATTTGTAACCTTTCGGACATTATGAAATTGTTAATTTGATTATCAAATATACTGTATATGGTGCATAATTTAACTTTATTTCTTTTTATGAAGAAAAATGTCAAGATTCTTTATCAGGACGTCGTCTCGCATTAATCCATTTACAAGAGAATAGGTAGATAAGTTAATTATTGATAATTTCAGTTATCTACCTAATTGAAACCAATAGACTCTCGTTCGTAGGTGTCACGATAATAAACACGTGACTCCAAATAATTTGCATGTGACATGAAATCTCATTGGTCAATCTATTATTCTTACATATACGATCCCACAATTTTTTTAATCCGCATTATTTATATAAAAGAACCCCGAAAAGCAAGTTTTGATCCTTATCCTCTCAAGCCTTTTGGCTAAGATCAAGTGTAGTATCTGTTCTTTTCAGCTTAATATCTGAAATGTTGTACAC